ATTAAAAGTACATAAAAAATGCAGAGTAAGTTGTATGCACCAGGACTGCATTTTAGCTTGCCATCTTGCAACTTGGTTGCCTTTCAGAGATTTCTAAACTACTATTTTCTTTTTCCTTTGTGGTTCTAGCACAGTTCATTCTCCTGCTTCTCTGCCAAGTTAGATTAGTTGTGCTATTGAATGACTTCGTTTAGTCCTGTAGCGGTGAAGGCTGATGCTGACATTTCACAAGTGTGTTGAATGTATGGGTTTAAAGGCTACAGGTTATAGTTTTATGGAGGGAGTGGAGAGATAAGTCAGGATCTATATGTTGTTTTAAAGCTAGAGGACCAAGCGCAGATACAGGCTTGTAAATGCTGTTTACAAGTTTTATCATTGAGAGTGCTGGACTCAAATGGGAGCTGCAGGGAAAAATGGCAAGTAATTAAAGCTGATTGCTTCCAGTAAGGCAGTACTGTATCTCAATGACATCAGAGCTCTGAATCATCTGATTCTTCTGGCAGGCTGAAAGTTAAGATTGGAAACCCAAGGATGTGCATTTGAAGTGGGAAGGAAAACAACTTCACCTTTTGTTGGGATGCACAAGGCAGTAAAATACTCAGGCTGCTGCTGTTGACACACTGGACTTGTAGAGAGGGAAGATTAGTCTGTGTGATTTGTGTCGAAAGAGCTGTGGCAAAATGGTATCCAACTCTGAAACTAGATTTGAGTTTGAGTTTGGTCAGATAGAAGACTATCACAAAACTATTTGGTCTTGTGGAGGGGTGGATCAATTGTTGTTAGAGGCAGAGAGCTGGAGTGTATGCAGCCTGGTGTCTTTCCTGCGTGCTGATGTTCACAGTTGCTGCTATCAGAGCACTTGAGTTTTATTTGAGTGGCTGTTGTGCAGATATGGCAGCCCAGTTTCTAGTCTGATATTGCATGAAATTTAAGATCAGGCTTGAAGTAACTGCCTCTGGTATTTTCTAGTAAGTTTCTCTAAACCTTGGACATCTGTCATCTTGGGTTGGCATATAACTAGTTGAAAGTGGAAAGAAGTTTTGTGTTCAGGTTTTATGGTGGTCATGGGGAAAACCAAAACCACAAAGTAAACAAAAAAAGAATCCTATTAAAATATCAAGTTTCACTGATCCCCTTCTGAGATTTAATTCTAACTGTGTTTAGAATTCACCAGTTTATCTGAAACAGCAACAGAAAAAGTGATTTGAAAAGCAAAACCAGGATGGAAACAAACAATTGCATTACTAGAGCATCATGTTAATGCCACTGGTGGAAATGGTTAATATCTCTGAATTACTGTACCATCAGTCTGGTGAAGTACTTGCAGAGTGTGCTGTGGGCATTAATGGAAATAGTTGAATCAATGTTGTTAAATAAGGAAGTAAACTACCACTTGTAGCTCTTGCTACAGCTGTTGTAGTTTGTGTGATCGTAAGAGCCTGTAGGTTTTTGTGTAGTGTGATACAAACAATGTTAGGAATAGGTGTCTTGGTATGTGCCAGTAGTGGCTTCTTATTCTGTGGCACTTCAGTTACTTTTCGAGCTCTTCAGTGCACCTACTGAAATATTTGAGCGTCAGAGTGTTGATATGCATTCCAGTGTGGTTATATAAAATAAGCAGGGGGAAAAAAAACTTTCAGTTTTTCTGCTGGACTTTTGTAAACTGAGGCCTAATTCAATGAACTAATTTAATACTTCTATCCCACAGGTCCTTCTAACAGAAAGCATTAATTAGTTCTAAAGTATGTGCTTCTTTTAAAAGGAATTTTAAAGTTTTCAGATTGATTTTGAGATTTTGTACCAAAATACTATTGACTTTTCAGCCCATCTCAATGGATGACTTTTTCTGGGGTCAGTGAAACTCATGAATATTCTAAGCAGCAACAAATATATCAAATCTAGTACACTTCCTGCAATTCAGTGAATGCAACTTGTAAGCATTCACAGATGCCGTTTCTTAACAGGGCTTTTGTAAGGCTTTACTGTTGTCAACAACACATCAGATGTGATACTGTTAGCTGCCAAAACAATGTATTAAAAGTGTCCTTCCATCTTCAGCAAAGCTTATTTGTAAATCTCCCATTAATTTCTCTTGCATGAGGTGTGTTCTGACATGATACCAAGTTTGACCAGCTTTTTACATTCACAAGAAACAGGCTTCGATGCATATCTGTACTCAGAAAAGTAAAATTGTGTGTTTTCACTTGTGCGTCATGAAAAACAAAACAAGCCTTTGGTTAATTCAGTACATAAAAGAATATTTAAAAAAAAACAACCCCAAACCTCAAGATTCATTATGGTAGGGACTATATTCTGGAATGTTTGCCTTAATATTATATTAATTTTTTTTTAAATTAAATATCATCAGACTTGTGAGCATGCTTAAATCTTTTGTACAGAAATATTAATTAAAACTTTCTCTGTGTTTACACATTCTTCCTTTTTAAATCTGCCAGCTTCCTGGTTAATCATTAAACAGCTTTGTTACAGTGACAGATTGCCATCAGCATTAAAGGCATACACATCTTTTCCGTTTCCACAGGTGCTAGAAGCAAGGAACCCGAACTGCCAGGTAAAGCTGGTGATATTCTGTAGTATGTGCAAAGACTGGATGGTCATTGCTAAGGTCAGGAAGCTTGAGCAATTTCATATCTCAAGAACGATACTCCAGAATGCATCTTCTTGCGTACCTGCTTTTTGGAAAAAAAAATCTCTTTCAATTAAGTTAAATTACAGCCAGTTGCAGATTGAAGGGCAAGGTAGTAGTGTAGTATTCAGTGACATGCTGGTCTTTATAATATTTTTGTCTTCTTTTCTTGGTGATTCTTTGAACACTCCTTCCCTCCTGAAGACACCATAAAGCACTGTGAAAGGTGTTCTGTACTTGTGAAATGAGTCTTTTTATTTACATGAGCACGGTTTTTGCATCTTTTTTCCTTTTATGAATGGACTTGTTCATTTCACTAATGGTGTGCAGTCCTGGGACTGACTGAGGACAGTGCCTTTGAAAGCTATTGGTACCACGGCCTAGCTTTTTTCATCATCCCTTCCTTCCAGGTCACGGTGTCAGAAACTGCTAGCTTGGTGTTTTGGGTGCTTGGTTTGCTTCCACTGGGATGGACTAAGATATTGCAAGTTTTCCTGATGGGAACAGACTTGCAAGCTGCATAGATCACAACTGATGCTTGCTAAAACACCTTGTATTAATTAAACTTTTTATTAATAGCAACAGCTTGATTCCATTAATGGCAGATAACTATTCATACAGTGCAAGCAATTATTCCCAAACGTGCTTTCTCAGTTACTGGGTTGGAACAACAGCTAGGAGAGCTCCACAGAAGTAGAGGGCTGTACTGATGCCCCAGAACTTTCTATGTGGATGTTCAAAGAGAGAAAAAAAATTTTCTCAAGGCACTCTCTTTCATCAGGTGTGTGTGTAATCCCATACTCACTGCCTGCCTATAGCAGCTGCTGCTTTCTTGAACGCAGTCTTTCTCCTTTTTTTTAAGATGATGATGTTCATGTCAGTGTGTCCTGGTGGTCTTGGACAGAGTGAACAGTCTTGATGTTTGGAGTTTCTTGGTCCTCCTGGATTCCACAGGACACCTAGAGCTTACTGGTTCTTGGGACACTTTCATGCTTTATTAGCATCTACTTCTCCTTTTCCCCAGCTTGCTGTTTGCTGGTGGCTAGATCTTCAGCTGCACACAAGTATCTGTAGAGTCCATTCACGCAAACTTGCACAGAAGGGATTTTTGTAACAGGCATTTGCTTGTTTCCCAAATGACAAAAAACGTTCTGGGAACTGAAAAGATAGTTTGTATTTGAAAGCTATACAACGTTTTACAAACACTAACAGTTCCTAATTGTAAAATTATGCTGCATGGTCAGAAGCACTGACAGTACTGGAATTTAAGAGCGACTGTATTTTTCAGACAGATTGTGGTTGGTGAAGCATGCTACTTTTATCTGGGCAAAGCCAAGGGACTGTTTTCTGTGCACAAATGGGAATGCATTCACTTTGAGAAGGAAATTTATTTTAAAATACAGCAAATGCATTAAGCTAAGAATAAACCTGGAGACCTGTTTCCAGAGGAAGAGTGTCAATGTACAAGGTTAGCTAGTTAGCCGTGCACAGAAATGTCTTCCAATAAGAGTGCTCTGTATTATGTTTTCTCAGAGGTCAACTTGTAAGCATCCTGAGAAGTAACCTTACAAACTACTTACCTTTTAATCCCTCTCTGTTATAAGGTTCTGGAAGGTAACTTTCCAATATTCAGAATAAATACGCCTCTTTTATTTTCAAAGTACTGGTACAATACATACTCTGTGGGAGCTTGTGATCAGGGTCAAGTAGTACAGCCATGTATTTAGAGAAATGGTTGCTACTATGATCTTATGGTGGTTGGCTTTCTAAGAAGTAATAGAGCAATGCAGTCATCTGTCTGTTCGAGTGCAATTGCTTTAGGCACCGGCAAATGTTATCTGCTAAATGGAAGCTGGGTGCATGTTCCCTGGTTTTCCGGTCTATGTTTTGGAAGTTGAAGGTGTGAAGATTGCAGAAAATGTTAGCAACAGCAATAGTTCATAATTTATTTTAGATCCATAAGTTACACAGTGGTTTCCAGCTGTTTTCTTTTCCGTAAGATGCACTAAACAAACCCCATGAAAGTCTGAGAGCTGGTGCAGGCTGCTAACTTACATTTCAGAAAGTGTCTGGTATTACTAAAGAGCTCTCACATTGCATAAAGTGGCTTAGCATTCAGAAGTAGAATTGAGTGTTAAGTACAACTATACTAGTATCAAAGTACCCGTAATGAAAGTTGCTCCGCTTCAGGTTAATTATTTTGAAGTATAAGAGAAAGCTAAGGTACCTACACTAGGCATTTGTTAAGCAGTAAACCTCTCTAGTGGTGAACTTCTTTTTTAAAGAAATTTAAGTGGGTACAAATATCATTTGTCTATATGGTTATAAAAAGAAGACTCTCCTCTGTTTTCAGAAACTTCTTCGCTAAAAGGACGAAGGAGCTCAAACCTGCGGTCCAAAGTGCTCCTGGTTGGAAGTTGTTCGGAAAAGTCCCACCCAGAGAAAACCTTCCAAAAGATTCCAAAATTATTCAGCAGGTAAGTAAGCATCACACATCTCTATGTACAAAACTTCTTAAAATTAATGCATAGGTTTTGCAGTAGTCTGCCATTATCTCCATCTTCGTACTACGCAGCTATAGAGTGTTCTGCAAAGACTGTTTTGGGGCTTTGTCTAGAGAATAATAGTTCCTGAGGAGTGTGAGTTTTATGATTCTTCAGTATGTCTTAGTGCTTACAAAAAAGTGACACATGTTTACAAAGTGTTTTAACCTTTTTAAAAGGTAAAAACACGAGGACTTGTATCAATTTTCCATGAAATTTTGCGTTATTTAAAATGATACACTACATTTTTTTTAATAGTAACGTGATTGTGAAATACTCTAGGCTTCCATTATGAAGTTCAGTACTGACTTCTGGCTGTTTTCTGCAATAAAACCATAGTGATACTCGTATACTTGTCTTTTCTTCAAACTGGATAGTAATCTAGTAAAATTATGTTCTTAGAGCATTCTTGGATGTTCTAGTGTGGTTGCATGTTTTTTGTTTGTTTGTTTGTTTTGTTTTTCAATATAACTCATCTTTCCATATTCCTTCTTTCCTGGAAAACTTACTATCTGAGTACCTTGTGCCAATTCTAAAACATGTGTTCACTTATACCTTGAGTGAGTTTAAAAGTCTTTTTGCTTCAAAATACTACTCTAAATTGAAGTTGTTTTGGAGTTACTGGGAGACTACAGAAAGGTAATTCTGATTTCCTTCCACTGACTGGGAGTTGCACTTCCATATATTCATTCCTGTGGAGTCTGTCTTTAATTTGATGACATAATAATGAAACAGCATAGTCTTTAAAGATGACCAGTTGGTTATGTATCATCAACTTCATGTTAACGTGCAGTCTTGAAGTTGGAAGATTTGTTGACATAAGAAATGTGAATGTTCCTTGTGTTGGTGAAAATGGTAACTTGAATATCGAGAGCTGCTTTCTCTTTTGTCTTTCTTGAATTCCATATGAGCTGATGTGTTTGCCAGGTGCAAATGGCTGTGACATGAAGCAGTTTTCAGTCATCTAGAAAGGGCTTCATGGCAAAGAGGGCCTTTTGGGAGCAGCTAAAGTGAAAAATGAGAGTTTCTTTTCAAAGGACTTGTTATGGGACTGGTCACACAATAAAATGAGATTGTAGCAAGTGATGTTTACTCTGAAGTAAACTGGATGCTTTTGCAACATTTGAAAATACAATTTTTCTTTTTTAAATGGCTTCCTTTTTTGGGTGGGAGAAGGCAAATGTTCTTGGTTTACTTGTAGATGAATGCCAATGGCCTTGTGCTCTGCAAACACTGTGGTAAAAATCCAGATGTTTCTTCTATCCTGAGAAATGGAGAGTGTCCACAGTGCTACCAGTCATCTGCTTCCAGTTTTCTAGTAATGAAACTGTTTGTTCTGGAGACCAAGTCATAATCTGCAGGAATAACCTTATTTTATTGTCCTGTTGTCCCTCAGTGACTGTTTTTCTTTTAAACTGTAGTATTCCCATTTTTATTGCTTCTCCAAAGTGGCAGAAAAGCAAATATATGAAAACAATGTATTGTCTTTAAACGTGATTGAGTTGGTCCTGACACACTAGTCATGTGGTTCATGTTATAATTGTTGCCAGATTAGGGTCACTGTTGGATTTATATAATCTTGAGTAATGTGTCAGTAATAGCTAATATTTTTAGCTTTTAATTTAGCTAAAGCATGCATGATCTTTAGATAAAGCGTTGTGAGCTAAAATACACAGATTGATTGTATGCTCTGCACAGTTACATCTAAAATACGTGAGAATGTGATCCTGAAATTGAGAGGTGACTTTGAAGAAAAAACCAATGGTTTCTTTTCTCAAAAATGTTCAAATATGCTGAACTAGCAGTAAGTTAGAATGAATATAGGCATGCTTCGTTATTGAATATCAGCGGAAAATAGTTATATGTGGTTTTGAATGGCTGATTGACATCCCTGGACTAAACTCCTCACTTTTCTGTTAGCAGAACATAGGAGATGTGTGTAAAGAATATAGGCAAGAGTGCAGTTCTGAGGCCTTTAACAAGTTGATGGAAATATGATTAAAGCTTAATATGCTTTGTTCACAAGTAATTCTGTGAACCTGGCAGAATACTTCATATCCTGCATGGACTGTCCCTACAAACTGACACGGTGACTTTCTAAATTGAAGTCAAGGGATCAAGTGTCATCTGAAAAACAAACAAGAAATTTTTCCCCCGATTTTTTTAGCCGCCTGTGGCCAGAAGAATGGCTACTCACTGTTTACCAGCTTTTGTAAAATGAGCTTCTAGGTGAAAGATAATGCAGGTAGAATAGGCTTACTCTGTAGGCAATCTGCCTGTGGGGAAGTTTACGGTAGTTTATGATTAGCAACAAATCTTGCCGTTTCTGAACAGTGATTGCGTTCTCCGTGGTTCTCCCACACAAAGTTCTGTGACTTTGCTGGTACCAGTGCCCAGCTTTGGGAGGGTGCACATTGCTTAAGGAAACCCTTGCCTGAGGAAACTCGGTAGTGATTCAGCAACCTTCAGATGAAAAATGAAATCTTAAGAAGTTTTATTGCAGGGAAAAAAATAACTTATGACGGGAAAAACTTCGTAATTAGTAGAGGGAGGAAGTATTTTTGGTAATGGTAATCCTCATATCGAAATTTTATGGCAATATTACAAAACATAGAGGACTTTCCTATTAGCAAGTCAAAACAAAAATATTGCTTCACTGTAGATTTATAGTTAAAAGGGTGACAGAGCTCACATGCCCTGTTTCCATCCTGGCTGATGGAAGCCTCCTTTGTCATCTTTGTTCTGCTAAGAATGATACAGTAAGTGAATAATTACATTTGAATGAATGCTTGCGGCTCTGAGTCTATCACCTAAACGTTGCCACATATGCCTCTGCAGAGAAGTCAGGTAGTGATTCTAATACCTTGAATAACTTCCAAGAAAATCTGGAATCTTAATCTGGGATACTGTTTCAGGCATTTTTCAGATGATGACGCTAGCCAGCTTTGCCTTCAGAGACTGTCCAGTGCATATGACTGTAAAGAATTTCTTTGCAAGTTCCTGAGCGTATCTAGAAGGAAAAGCAACCTGCAGGGCTCGCCTGGCCGGGGCGATGGCGGAGTCCCCCCCAGCTGCGCTGCCATCGGCGTGCTCTGGGTGAGATGCTCCTGCTCAAACTGCGTCAGAGGTTGAAAGTTCTTGGCAGCTGCATCTTCCCTGCTCGCAGCTGCTGGCACGCTCTGCTCTCCTTGGATTTAGAGCTGCCCAGGCAGGATGTGATTGAGGCCAACTCTTTTGCTGGACATCTCCCTCCTCTAGGCTTCCTTCCTTCACTGTTTTTTCAAAAGGCAAAATAGCAACTCCTTCGGACTGCAAATGTCAAATGTGTTTGATGGGTTTAGAAAGCATGTCTTTTCTCATGAACTGCAGCTAATAAAACTGGGTATTATAAGAAGTATGTGGTCATTAATGATCAGTGTGGTAAACTTTTTTCAATCTGTACAGAAATCTGATTTAAATTAGACTGCTGAAATATTTTAATACAGAAGCATTTAAAGCAGAAACTGGCTTTGAGCTGGTACATAACATTTTGGTGTGTAGTGACTAAAGTGCAAGTTCTGTTTAAAAATGCAAGCTCAGTTTAATTTTTTTTGTGCTTATGGTTAAAGAAAAGAGGTTTTTAATTTATGATCAGAATGATTCTGAACATCAAGTTGTGAAGTTCAGCACTTGCTTTTTATTAAGGCAATCTTGAAAACTTTGTTATGCTGCTTTAAACAAATTAATAAAAATTTTCCTAATATGCCTGAATTAAAGTAAACTCAAAATAGGGAAATACACATTGGAAGATAAAAGTAAAACATACACCAGATTTACTTTATCAATAGTTTTATCAAAGTACTGTTAGTGACAGCATTAAATAAGAGAAAAATGAAAGCTGCCTTTCTGTTTAAATTTGACACACTGTGAAAAGCTTGCAGTGATTTAGAAATAATTGCTTATTCAGAAGTGAAGCCATCTTTTCCAAAGACTGTTACCTTGCTTACAAAATGGGAGGTATTAATTTTAGACAGTTGAATACTAGTGTTGATTTTTGATGACTGGGTCACTATCCTACAAGTAACCTCTGAAAATATTAATTTGGGGTGGTTCTGAAATCATAAAAGAAAACTACTCAAGAGCTAAAAACCAGTGTCTTCACTTGCATATTTTTCTGATGTTGTTATCTCCAGTGTGAAATCTAATGGAGAAATCGCATTCACTGAATCGGCAGAATTCCCATGGTCTCTTAGGGATGAGGGTTGTCAGAGGTTTCTTTTCAGAGGAACAGATACATTTTGAATTGGTTTTCCTACCACTCAGCCCTTCTAATCTGCAATATTAACTCTTCCCTCTGATCTTTGTTGTTTCAGTTTAATAATACAATGAAGCTCCTAATGCTTAAAAAGTGTATATGGCATGTTTGTCAACAAGTCTCAGGAGTTGAATATCTGAAAGTAGATAAATAAAGTGCTAGATGTTTTTCATAGGAATAGTTCTTAAGCAGATAGTTATCTAGATAGAGATCATGTTGGCTCGTCTTACATTACTTCTGGAGAGAAGAGAAAGGCAAAGCTTCTGCCTGTTTAGCAGATAGAGGTAGAAATATGTCAGTTACAAATGTTGGTTACTGTCCTGAAACCAGGACAGACAATAAATAGGATTATTGGGTATTGCAAGGAACGTGTAACAACAGAATAATTTGTCTGCTAGCAGCAGTGAGAAGGCTGTGATTGTTTCCTCCGTAGACACTGCAGTGGTCAGATTCTCAAGAAGCGTCCATCATCTTTCCAGAGCCACAGATGTACTCAATAAAATGCTGTACTAGAGGTAAAACAAAGACATTCCCCAGCGTTCTTGACTTTATCAATGATTATGTTGTCGGTAGAATGGTAATGAAGGTGGTAGGATCTCAGCGAGACAAATGCCTGCTTTTTAGCTCCTAGTACCACTGGTTACCCAGCTGCTGTGGTAAGGAGAACTTCTCATGATGTCAGTCCTAAGTTGGTGGGACAAATGCGTCTTTAGGGGAACGCTCTACAGCAAACGTGGCATTAGTATTTTGAAAGTAGCGCAGAAGTATCGACTCCCCTGATGCTAATTCTTCTGAATGGTCTTTTTTTTCCCCCCAAAAATTGAGGTCAACTATAATAAGTATTGAAGCAAAGTTTCTTTTCCTAAAGCTGGAAAAAGAAAGCAAAAGTATTCTATGTATTTTTATTTCTGTCCTTGTCAGTTTCTTACTGAGGAAACAAAAAATAAAAATGGTGTAACTTCTTTTGCTATTAATTTGGTGAGACCCTATTTTTTGGGGGTTTTTTTGATCTTCTGGATCTTCCTTTTGGGTGCCTCCCCCTCTTTTGGGTCTCTGAATTCTTTATCAAAGGATGACAGGTAAAAAATATATTTTATTTTTTTTCTTCTGAAGTGAGCTTTTGTAGGTAAAGCAGACTTATGCTGGTGAACTTGCTGCAATAGCAAATCCATCATCTAGACAGGCTGTATTAAATTCAAAAAGGATAGGATTTAGCAGAAAGATTCAGGTGGTAAAGATGCTGTCCTTTATTTTTATTTTTTTTTAAAGTGTGGTGTTTCTTTAACATAAACCTTCTCCTTCTGAGGCTGACACTTCAGTACTAGAAAGGAAAAATAGTATGGCAAGGGAGAAGGAAGCCTTTAAATTTTTTTTATTTTTTTTTTTTTTAGCCTGTATGGTACAAGAACTCTGCAGATAGGTTCAGAAATAACGTTGAAGGCATGATAAAAAGCTCATTTTCCTTCTTCCGGTGCTGTAATGTAATGCTCATTAAAAACAATAGCTGTCCCTTTCCCCTTCCCTGACTTGAAGCTTGGCTTTTCCATTAGAAAACTAGCTTTCAGTTTGGAGTAGAAACCTGCAGAGCCGTGGTCGTACGGGGTCTGCTATGTTGGCCATTGCTTTTCCCCAATTGCCTTGCCTGCAGTGTGCTGTGAGGTGTTTCAAATTGCTCCTTAGAATGTTACTTTTAATTTAAGCAACTGTTTCTCAAATGTGTATTTTTTCTCATCAGCTCACCAGTGAGGTTGAGGTATAGTTCACTTTTGAGGTTTCAGTTTAGAAATACTAATTATAATATGTCAGGAGGGATGGCAGGGGACCTAAAAGCCCGCTCTAAGTTACTATGTTTTCTACCCTCTCATGTAAATAGAAAAACCCAAACTCTGTCAAAAATCTATTTAAAAGTTACCCTAGGTTTTTTTTTTGTTTTTTTTTTTGCAAAGTTCTTATTGAAGTCCAGTTACGTTTCTCTTCCATTTCTCCACAGTTGCAAGTACTGTTCTCGATTATTCGTTTCAAGCTTTAAAGCTGCTTTTTAACAGTGTATCTTCCAAGGGCGTGTTTAAATAAGTGTAACTTTTATGGGTGATTGTGGACTAAGGAGAGACAGTGGAATGCCTTTTGTCAGGAGCTGACAAGTGCAATGGAAGATCGCCCTTTGGACAAAGGTGGTGATTGTAGAAAATACAGAACTTCAATTAAAACAGAAGAATAGTCCAATAGGTAACTATACCCATCTTACACAGGTTGAAGGTCTTGTTATGTGGTTTTTGTACGTTTTGAGGACTGGAGAAGGAAGAACAGACACATCTGTGTTTCTTCAGACAGAATATAAGTACTCTACATGTGAATTTAAACTTTGGCTTGCATGTTGCTATATTTTAATGGTCTTGTCCTTCATATATTCACTAAGGCTTTGCTTCTGTTTTTCTCATTAGGATGACAGTTCTGGCAGTCTTGCGTCAATATCTGCTCTCAGTCTATTAAACACAGGGGTATGAAATTTAATATATACTTTTTTAGTTGTATTCAATGCCATGCATGGAACTATGTAGCACTCATTAAAATAGAAGAAACATCACATTTTCACGGTAGCATGAATATCTTATGGCACTAACCATCAACTCATTAGATACCATTAGTAAAAAATAAACTTCACACGTGAATCTCACTAACAACTTGAAATGATAGAGTATTATTGTTTATATTGCATGTTCTTGAATAGCAAGAAATAGGTAATGTTAGAGCTTGACAGTAATTTGCTTTCTGTGTTTGCTGCGCCTCCTTGCTTAATGGTAAGAGTTGTTGAAAGACTTAATTTGTCATATTTTTTAACATCTTGTATTAGCCTTGTAAATTGGTATTCTAGAATCTTTTTTTTCCCCTCTAAGTCACAGAGACTATTAACAGTGTCACTTCAGAGCTCCAGATGCTTTTTATCACTTTTTCCAATATGAAATTGAAAACCTAGAAAAGTGCAGCTACTGAAACTTGTTGTATGTTATGTCTTCTATTTGCTGTGGCTGGTATCCTTCTGAACTTGGCCCAATGCACATGTCGATTGCTTTGAAAACTTTTTATGCAACCCTACACTATATGTTAAGCAGGAAGAGTACACGTTGTTATTTAGTCCTGTGGGTCTGTTACTGTGGCTTTGTGAAATAGAGCAGTAATGTATCTGCTAGTTGATACATGATGCTGTGGGTTGTGTTGCATGGCCCAGCCACTTCAGCTCTTCTTTATTGGACCCAAAGCCCATGGCTTCATGCTCTTCTGTAAGCAACAAAGGATGACACTTGATGCAACTTGTTAAATATCCAACCGAGGGAAAAGAAACAAGTAAACAGTTGAAGATAGATCGCATTACTTTGGAAGATTGACCTAGAAACTCTTCAGTATCTGGTTTTTCTCTTTTACTATGTGAAGATTATTATTTTCCCTACTTCTGTATAAATCCTTCTTGTATTGCCTGCAAGTCAGGAAAGAATGTGCTGTTGTGTCTGTCCTGATAGCGTGTGGCGTTCTTAGTTTTGGGAAAACATCTAGTTTATGACTCAGAATTTTTCAGTAACATCTGATATTGCTGGAAGCACTTCTTGGTTTATCACCTTGTAACCAGTGCTAGCTCAGCAATTTTAACATTAAACCTGGGACACACACACACAAGATGACATATAATCATTTAGATATTTTTAGAGGCCCATCTGATCCACTGAGTCACACGTGTGCTTAGATGGTAGGGAGGTTTAAAACCAGTTGCAGAATACATGGCAATCCCCATTGTTTCCTCAACAGATATCATGATTAATTGAATAAAGCCTGCTTCAGTATGAGGCTTAGAGTTTTGGAGGAGTAAAGCTTGTTAAAAGAAACTGTGATACACAGGGTGCATCCTTTGTTTAATTGGAGTATTTGCCTTGACATCTACTTTAAATAGAGGCAGTCCTTAAGATGAGCAACGCCATATCAACTTTCACTGTCAGGTTGCTTTCTTCTCTAGCATACCTAAAACATAATTGTGGTGCTTAATCTGTGTAATTTGTGCATTCAGGACTGTGAGGACTTTCACAGTCTTTGTAATTCAAGACTTTCATGACTCGTTTCCAGGAGTTCAGCTTTTGTTGTTGGATCCTAGAAAGATCAAAACTTAATCCGAGCAAGATGAATATTGAATTTCATGGTCAATATTTATTCTTTTAAAGCTCTATAATTTGGCCACTGTAGATGCAAGCTTGTATTCTAAAATTGAACCATCATGTGTGCACTTAGTTAAATATTTTACCCCACAAGCATACCCTACCAAAGTTCAACTAACGCTTTTGGAATGCTGTGATGCAGCTGGCCTTGCTTTCTGTAAGGGAGTTTGTTTAGATGCTGGAAGAAGCAGCTGTGGGTGATTCTGCATATGTTATGCAGTGCAATCCAGTAGTGTTCTGATATATCTAAAATAGCTCTGGTCTAGCTGTCCTATATGGTCCTTCTGAGGAAGGATGAAAGAAACTTCAGTTTAGTGTATTTTCCATGTAAATATCAAAAAAAATGCAGGCAGTAGAGACCTGCAGGTTCACTGTTTGGGGCTTTTTGTTGTTGTTGTTTAAAACACTAGGGGTGTTCTTTCATTGTGTTTTCTGTTTGTTTGTTTATTTTTCTAAAGAAGATACAGTTTGGGATATCTTTATCTTCTTTAGTGCAAAGGCAGTTCCCCGCCCCATTTATCTGTTACCTGTCTTTACGTTAATAGGTTTATCTGTATTTCTGTAGGAATAAACACTGAAAATACAAGTCCCTCCACATATTGAAGTGCTCTTAAATATTATCACAGTGTATTTTGGGAAAAAATATGCTTTTAGCCTGTTAATAGGTTAGTTATTGGCAGTAGATGAGAGTATGCAGTTCCAGCCTTAATCAGGACATTATCTGTTTTTACCTTCTGTTAAAGCTAATATTTGTTTTACTTTATTTGGGAACTGTGAAATGTTTAATAACTTTCAATAAATACCAGATATGCTGCAATAAATAATTTTTTAACAACTTTCTCTAAGCTACTGAAACCATACATCTGACACTTCCAAAATTATTTTTGTATATAAACAGGTCTTACAAAGTCTTGAGTCATAGCTGTCAACTGTTCTACCCTCTGGCATAGGATTTGCATGTTAAGAATTTGACAATGCATTTGACTTGTATTTTTACCTTGTTATGGAAGAGTATTAGGTCACATCTTTTTGAAATGAAGTTCTATGTCAGTTCAAGCTTTTTATCCTGTGCCAAGAATTTTAGATTCTGCATCAAATGCATGGTTAAGGTTATTGGGTTCTATACATCTAGTCATACAAAATATTCCAGAAAAGAATTGATATTTTAGTTGCACAAACTAGAGACTTCCATACATGTCTGATGGTTCTGGGATATAATCTTCAAAGAAGTCTCCTAAAGCACAGACTTCTTGAGGAAGAGCCATATTCCATTGAGAAGTTCTGATACACTTGGAATGTATTTCGTCTTAGGGAATGTGCAGCCATGACAGTTTGAGTCACAAGCTATTTTGGTCTCTGTTTTGACTCTTTCTAGTAACACTTACAGTTTTGCACTCTTTTCACGTGTTCTTTTCTTGCAAAAAAACAACTCTTCACAAAGTGAACTTGATTTCAGAAACACAGTTGGGCAATGAATTCTGCCTCCTGTGAAAAATCCTTGTTGAAGCTAGATTTTTATTTATTTTTAAAAATTTATTTTCCCCTCTCTCTCTCGATTTGGAAGTAGAGTATCAGTTCTTAGCATGTACAATAGCCAGAAGCACTAGCACCATTCAGATGGGTTACTTGCAATAGAAAGGTGACAGTGACTTCACGTCTAATGTCCACCTCACAGTGCTTTTTTTGACTTGCATACAAATTAGTTATGTAGGGATGTGGAAAAGGTTGGTAGTGTTCGAGATTCCTAATCTGTGATCACTAAATGAGCTTGATTTTGCGGCTTCTGTTATGAAGTACTGGAAAATGTGAAAGTAGATCAGAACTACCAAGAATATGAGGGATGGCATTGCTACTGTACTGCACCCTGATGCTGACCTCTGGGTGCTATCACAGGGTACATTCCAAACTGAAGAATGTGCTGGGCTATCCTGAGGTACAAAGCCTGGCAGGAGTGCCTACAATATATCGCTGGCTTTAGGTGGACTTAAATAATTTTCGGTGTGCACTCACATATATTCATTCACCTAGTGAATGTTGCTTTTCTGACTATTTCCTTGTGCTCGTGTGAATCACAACAGAACTCTACCAAACTTGTGTGTTCAGTTGTTCAAGATACTTGTTTGCATGTGCCAAATCATGCTGGATGTGTGTTACTTTCAATCAAAAATGGTCTTGGGAATGACCCTTCATGATTCTCTGATAACTTTCTGTGGAGGTGGGGTTAACATGACATTATTGAGATTATACTTTTCATATCATTTATGTATTATGCCCAGTGTGGAAGAAAAAAATTCTCTTAAAGGTCACTAAAGTGGGTAGGGCGAGGAGGCTGTTGAACAGAAAGTTTTAAGCCACTTTAATGTTGGGCAGTTTGTGCCTTCTCTGGAAATCCAAGGCTGCATTGATATGTTTGTAAGAGATCTTTTCCCATTTAACTTCATGGAATTCAACTGTGTACTGATCTTTTCAGCTACAAAATAGCTCTAAAATTGTCAACTCTGTTTCTCTAGTGCTGTCAGTGAACACTGAATGTGTAAAGCCTTCTTTTCTATGGGAGAGCTAATCACAGAATTTTAGAATCATAGAATGTTCAGGGTTAGAAGTGACCTCTAGAGATCATCTAGTCCAACGCCCCTGCCAGGTTCCCCTAGGGCAGCCACCCAGGAACATGTCCAGGCGGGGTTTGAAAGTCTCCACAGAAGGAGACTCCACAACCTCCCTGGGCAGCCTGTGCCAGGGCTCCGTCACCCTCACAGTAAAGAAGTTTCTCCTCATGTCGAGGTGGAACTTCCTATGTACTAACTTAAACCCATTATTTCTTGTTCTATTACTGGGCAACACTGAGAAGAAATTGTCTCCTTCCTCTTGACACCCACCCCTCAGATATTTCTATACGTTAATAAGATCCCCTCTCAGCCGTCTCCTTTCAAAGCTAAACAGCCCCGGTTCTCTCAGTCTCTCTTCACAGGAGAGATGTTCAAGTCCCTTAATCACCCTCGTAGCTCTCCATTGGACTCTCTCCAGTAGGTCCCTGTCTCTCTTGAATTGGGGAGCCCAAAACTGGACACAGGATTCCAGGTCTCACCAGGGCAAAGTAGAGGGGGAGGAGAACCTTCCTAGACCTGCTGGACACACTTTTCTTAATGCACACCCTGGATCCCATTGACCCTCTTGGCCACATTGGTGTCCCATGGACAACTTACTGTCTGCTAGAACTCCAAGGTCTTTCTCCACGGGGCTGCTTTCCAGCAGGACGACCACTCATCTGTCCTGGTGCCTGGCCATTATTCCTCCCCAGAGGCAGGACTCTACACTTGTCCTTATTCAACTTCATGAAGTTTCCCTTGGCCCGGCTCTCCAGCCTGTCGAGTTCTTGTTGGATGGCAGCACAGCCTACTGGTGTGTCAGCCACCCCTCCCAGTTTTGTAACATCAGCAAACTTGCTGAGGGTAGGCTCTATCCCCCTGTCCAGGTCGTTGATGAAGATCTTGAACAAAACTGGACCCAGCACTAATCCCTGGGGAACACCACTGGCCACAGCGTGTACAAGAAGTTGTACATTGACTATGAGATTCATTTGTGAGCAGCTCCGAGAGAAGACTTAGGTTAGAATGGGGAGATCCATGACCTAAATAGTAATTGATCGATTTTTTTACTTTTAGTGACTTAAACATAAGATATTTTGATTAATTTGAGACTGAATTTACTTACACAATTATTAAAGCAGCAGATGTACAAGAACAAACTGTCTTTAGAGGAAAAAAGCTTATACAAGCTGAAGCTCGCTTGGCTGTGCTTAAGACTAGAGCTGTATGATCTGCGAAATTACATTACTTGAGTACTTTGAATTTGTTCTCTTAGAAAGATAATTTTTCAGCTCTTGGTATTCTGCGTTTGAATTCCAGCATGTGGAAGACTTGCAGAGACATTAGTATTTAGCCTTCCTGCCTAACAAGAGTGTGAAACCCACAAGCTAACTTGGTTTGCAAATAAGTTGAAAGTCTTCTCACGGATAACCTTAAGATTTGCTGAATCATAGCAATGAGTTTCCTGGTAACATGGCAGTAAATTTTTATTTACAGGGACTAAAACAGAGGGAATGTGAGCTTTGAGGTTTTCATGTGACTCTGTCTAGCCTTTTGTCTAAAGACTTTCTGGTATATCTGTTTTGTTGTGTTGCTCTTGTGAAAAAAGGAATGGGATTCTTTATTCCTCAGGATATTCTGTGTATTAAAGACTGTTAAATATTTCCTTCTAAGTAGATTGCATGTTTTAACCTCTGAGATACAAATTATGTGAAACAGACTTGTAATGGTAAATACTGTTACGTTGTCACTGAGCATAGTGTAAGTAGTTCTGGATGATTTAGGTTTGATGGTCTTGCTAAAGGCTTCACAAATGTGAGGAGTACAGGATCTTAGGGGGAGTTAGAATCAGGAGGAGAGCAATGGGAAGACACATGTTCTTGGTTAGTGGTTTTTGGAGATGGTGTGGTCATGTTTTTTTTCTTTTTTTGGGTCAACTTTACATATTACTTAAATATACTTGTGCACTAATTAGTTTAGGAAGATTATGCAGATTTCCTGACTAACTGATCCGTTGATGCTCAGTAGCAATTCTGAACTAGAATAGATCAAAGATTAAATTGGTACAAGAAAGTGCTTTTTCATTCATCTTTACCTAGCAGTCCAGGAAAGCTGCAGTCTCACTATAAACACTTTCAACTTGTAATGTTAGCTTGTTGTTGTCTTAAATTATTTAACGCTATATATTTTGATATATTAAATAAGTATTAAACAATATTAGTAAGTGTGTTATGCTTACTAATTAGAAGTGAGGCTGAAAGTTGAGATTTAATTTTTATCAATAATATTGTTTAGGAATATGAAGCACGGACAGGAAGAATGTATAAACCTCCACCCGCATCAGCAAGACGTAAAAATATTGAATTTGAACCACTTTCAACTACTGCTTTGATTCTGGAGGACCGACCAGCGTAAGTGTGATTCTGCTGTGGAACTGATGATTGAATTTCTTAGATATGCTTCTGATGAGCTAAACTTCTTCATGAATCTTGCCCAAAAGTATCATTGGATTATTCTGTCTCAGATAATAGCCTAACAAGTACCTGCAGAAGAACCTTTAAGCGTATTATACTCTGTATGAGGAATTCATTCTTGCTGTAGTGGGGCCACCAATCTGTTATCTACTGTATATCACAACTGCCTGTGACAGTGTTGTGGGCAGCCTTCATCAGGAAAATTCCTCAAGACTGTTACGAGCTTCTTCACTGCCATCTCAGTGTGCACTCCCTTCTTCCCCCATTGTGGAAACTTAATTTTGTAGTAGACAAGTTGGGGAGACCTGGACTTGACTTACCAGAAGAGTTTTTTTAAAATGCAAAAAAAGTAGTACTGTTAGGTAGGTAACAGCTTGAGTGAGATACAAGAAATACCTTTCTGACACAAATGCTGAATATTCATTTTGTATCTGGCAACTGCAGTTAAATACTTTGTTGGTACCAAGATGATAGTGTTCACTGAAACTGTTCCTTGCCCCTGTTCCAGTTATGTTTTTGTGGATCCTTAAAACTACAGCTGAAGGCAAGGAAACAGCAGATGAAGATACCACAAAAACTGCATTATGTACAAATAATAGCAATGAAAAATGGGCAATAAATTGGTCAGTATTTCCAGCTGTGCGGTTTTCAGTGTTTTGAAGGAAAGAGGAGGGAGGACCTGCTGACTAGGAACACAAGCTGGAGGAAAGCAGATGGAACAAAAGCTTTCAAATTGCACCTTAAGAAAGCTTGTGATGGCATTGTTAAATGTTTGCTCTAGCCAGTTCCAGTTAGGAAATGGAAAATGGAACATAGAGTGTTTCCATCAATATTCTTCCATCAATATTCTCTCTAGTGGTGTTATAAGCTCATTCAGTGCTAAAACAGAAATACTCTGAAAGGAGATACAGATTGCTATGATTATTTTTACTGTATGGTAGAGAGCAAGATACACGATAAGTAGTTTGCTGATGCTTTTCTGTACTTTCAGAATACTTTCAGAATTCACAAACTAGCGTGTCTTTTTACAAATAGCACTTCTGCTTATTTCAAGTTGAAGTGCCATGGCAAGTGTTTAATATCTTGCTACGTTATCATCCTTGAAAATACATTCTGCTCTCACTTTCATTGGAAATATTAACAGTCATCTTTTCTGCTTGTATAGGAGGAGATGGAAAACTTTTTTTTTCTCCTCTTATTGAAATAACAAAACTGTCTTCTGTTTATTTTCTGTCAAAGTAGACCAGAGATTAGGTAAAAGACTGAGACAAAACATTGTGTTCTGATTTGTTTTGGAATGAGTCTGCTTGGTCAAAAGGAAGTATGTTTGGCAATTAGGGAGTCACTGTGCAGCCAAAAAACAAACTGTATTTTAAGCTGGTGAACTTGTAGTGCTGCAGCAAGCTGCCTTAGTTTTAGCTCTGACATTGATAGGGATCTAGTCGTTCTTTGTTTGGTAAACTTGTCTTCTTTTGTGGGAGTAAAAACCTTTACCTTTTATTGAAAATATGTTACCCTAGATTTTAGATAAACAAATGGAGTATTCATATGCAAGTATATTTTTAATGATTAAAATATGCACTTGCAGAAATGCATTGGAACAACTAACTATAAGAAATATCAGTAATTCCCTGTTGTCACTTCATGCAAACTTAATCTGAGCATCATTCTAGACATTCCGTAGATCTAAAACCCCTGCTTTGAGGGAAGCTATAGGAAAACTAATAAGCAGAAGCATCTCCTGCTGCCTCTGAAGCATTGATAGTGTGACGACCTCAAAGCTCTCCTTAAGAGAAGCCAAATTAAAACCTAGTTTGAAATGGTTCGGACTGTCATTTGTGTATATTGAATTCAGGAACAACTTGTTTTCAGAAATCTTCCTGCCAAATCAGTGGAGGAGGCTTTACGTCACCGGCAAGAATATGATGAGATGGTGGCAGAGGCAAAAAAACGAGGTATGTAAACTGCCAATAATCACTGTAATTCTTTTTAACTGTGCAGCAAAAATAATTTTCTGGCTTCTAGGCTACTAAGTACAGTAAAGAACAACCTTTTTTTTTAATATCTTGTTTGATACTACAGGAGGGTTGGACCTTTAAAGATCCCTACCAACCCAAGACTTTCTGTGATTCTATTCTATGATTCTGTCTAGGTTATTCTCTGGTACCTATGTGCATGCAGTTTAAAACTGAACTCAAATTATCAAATTCTTATTGCACCACGGTGAACATAAGTAGGTTCGGAAGTCAGTTTAACATTTTTTAAAATTTTTAAGTAGAAATTTTAAACCACTTTGTGTAACGTGATCAGCTAGAAGCTTTCTCAGTAGTTGGACTCTTTTTTTTTTTTTTTTTTTTTCAAGCTGTGTTGCCACAGTTGCCACAGAGAGCCTAAGTAACAAAGCTGACTGCTTATATATCTGGGTTTTTTCATAAATTTGAGATCAATTTCAATGTGAAGACAAAACTTTTTTTTTCCCCCCACCACCTGTACCTGTGTGAACCTTCCTATTCCCACCAGATCTGCTTTTTAAATTAAACGTATCTGTAGCTGCTGGTACTGTGTCAGTCTATGAATAGTTGTTGAAAGGACTGCTGTAGTCTCGTGCCTAGTATTCAGGGAATAAGCTATTTTAAGAATCTGTTCTGCATGCTTTACTTGGGCTGTTGTCAGAGATACAAGCTTCTGAACTGATTGAGCCTCTCTGGATCTGTGGCAGCTTATTCTGAAAGATGTAATAAGGAATCCAAGGCATTTGATTTCAATTTATTTCAATCTTCTCTTGTGGTGTGCGTTTTGTAAAGTGTGGTCTGTGTTCTCTAACTGTGTCTTTGGAGGCTCAGCCATGTGTAGTGTTTTAGTATGTGTGCCCTTAGTGTTCATTAAACTAACGACCACTACACACACAAAGCCTCAGTAAAAAACTTAATGAAGCTGCTCAGCCCTATCAACTTGCCAGGATGGCAACTCTGTTGATGGGTCTAATGCAGCCATGAATAGAAAATGTCTTGCAATTTCACAGTGCTTCTTAGTGATGTCAGGATAGCACTGCTCTGTCTTTCTTTTAGCCTTTTTAACAACAAGGATCTACAAATGATCTTTTTTTAAACAGAAGGCAGAATACTGTTCTCTTGTACAGAGTTGTGGCTTCGTCTCGGAACTTTAGGACCTTTTTCAAGAAACGAGAATACACAATCCTTCTAGGTGGAAGTTTCAGTAAAATTTGAATAATTTTAAAGTGGATGTAGAATTGCACTTAATAAATAATAAAATTCCCTATAATTGTTGCTGATTAGTTTAAGTAATAAGTAAGGTTTAAGTAGAATGTGGTGCAAAATTCATTACAGGAAAGACAGCACTGATGATGTGCTTGCTTTTTTAGTCATTCTGTGTAGTGCTGAAAAGCATGCTACTAGTTTTCTAGCCAGATTTTTGCTAAGTCATTGTGTATTTGAATAACTTAGCTTAAATTAAAAAATTTCCTGAGAAATACACCTACAATCAACAGAAATATAGTACCAGCTAGCTCATGTGCAACTGTAATTTAGCCTTGATCTTTTTCAGACATCTACATAATTAGATAATAGCTGAATAATTTACCTAATAAGTTATATACACTAATACACAATTATTAATGTGTTATGTCTAACAGAAATTAAAGAAGCACATAAAAGGAAAAAAATAATGAGAGAACGTTTCAAGCAAGAAGAGAATATAGCCAGTGCTATGGTGATTTGGGTTAATGAAATACTGCCCAACTGGGAAGGCATGTAAGTAAAGTTCTGCTGTGTAAATGAGGCAAGGCTGCCTTGTTTCTCCTCTGGAAGCAGAGGACTCACATACCTTATTTTCCTTTCCCCTTCTGTTTAGTCCAGAAATCAGATTTTGTTGCCGTGATATAGTGAGAGGTTATTACAGAGCAACATGAAATGTGTTTTGGGAAGTGTAATATTATGTTGTTTGTTTGTTTTGTTTTGTTTTTTTAAATGGGACTTTAGCATAAGCAGAGATCCTTGGATATTGATTTGGGAAACAGTGTGCTATTTTGCTTGTAAGTTGCCCAATGATTTTAGAAAAGATGTGCAAAATTACTTTTGTTTGTTTGTTTGTTGTTTTGTCCCCGCTCCTAGGCGTGCTACCCGAAGAGTTCGAGAGCTGTGGTGGCAGGGATTACCCCCAAGTGTTCGTGGGAAGGTTTGGAGCCTAGCTGTGGGAAACGAACTAAATATCACTCCTGGTATGCCTTAAAAGATCATGCTTTAATGCAAAATTATGTTCATTATTTCCAAAGAAAAATTTAAACTTTTGCTAAAAAATATAAATTAGGATATATTTGCTTTCTGAAGAACTGGGTTTTCCAACCTTAGGAACCAGTGTTTTTTTACAGTTAGACATCATAGACTGGTAAATCATGGAAACAATGTCCAAAGCCTGCTTGCAAAATTGTTTTTTGTCTGTTAAGGGTTAAGGTGGCACTCCCACCTAAAACAATCAATATGTTTAAAATTGAGAATTTTTAGCTTTGCTTTCATCAGGGAGTGTAAACAGGAATTACTTTATTTCATAACTAATGATTTTGATGAACTAGAAGTGTTCTAACCTACTTGCAAAAGTAAAAATTTGAATTATTTAAGGCATGATTTCCCTCTTGTAATTAGCATGTTCACCATAGAAGAAAGCATAATACAATGCACACTATAAAACTGTGGATGGTGGTACTCCAGTGGCTAGTGGTAACCATCTTATAGATTCTTCCCTCACCCTCAGTGACTAAAGTGAAACCCAGAAACAAAACCAAAGCCAAAAATACTTAGTGTGCTTTTATTTTGGATAGGTGTTTTTCTTACTTATCTCTTTTTTTTTTTTTTTTTTTTTTTTTTGTTCTTGGTTTTATTTTGCTTTCTTGCAGAACTTTATGAAATCTTCTTGTCAAGAGCTAAGGAACGATGGAAAAGCTTCAGTGAGACAACCTCTGAGAATGACGTGGAAGGTGAGAGTTCCTAAATACTAGGCAGCCTCCTGTTCCCTTTTACAAATCCAGGGAGTCTCACAAGTTCAGCTGCAATTGCAGCATGAGTAATACTTATTAAAAGTACTGTGAGTAGTTCTCTACTTAAATGTTTGCTTTCTTATAACAAGGCAGTGAGTGAGAGCCTTAGCAGTATTTACTATATCAATAAAAGATGAGTTAAAATATTGCACGTGCTAGTTCACTTTCAAATGTATGTGTTCTCCTCTGAGTTCCTGAAATACCAGGACTATGCTCTCTTGAAGATTTTAGTTGAAGTAGAAAAAGAAATGGAAAAATAAATTGCGGTATTTGCTATTGCTTAGCTCTGCTTAGGTGGTTCTTATGTTGGTATCCCTCCCACAATTTCTGGAAAGAAAAAAAGTTATTCTCTATTTTTTGATTGTGGAGCTGAGAGGTGAAGAATGCGTAACATGACACGGTTTGGATTCCTCTTGGGTTTCCTTGGCTGCCCAGCTGGGCTTTCCTCCCAAATCTGTTTTGTGGGGATGTTAGCACACTTGTACGTATAACAGAGTTTTATCACTAGCATATTGCTTTCTCCTGTGAGTATTCTTTCTGTTAAAAATAGTGTCAATTATGTTTTAATGGTGCGTATATCCTTGTTATAAATGTTAACTCCTTATGTTGTTAAAAGTTAGTGTCTTATATGATACTATCAGGACCATCTTCTATGAAAAAAAGTATTTTTTTTTGAGTTCGTTCCCCCTTCTCAGGAAAGAAGAATAGCATTGTAATGCAAGAACTACTTTTTTGTTGGCACTTGCTGTTGCCAGTCTTGACTAGCTGGCTACTTTGACTGTAAATTATTCAGGTCTTCATTAGGCTTCTTTCTGTGACTCACCTGAAGTTTGTCTTGATACAAATTGTTTATAGAAAATTCCCTGTGTACATGACTAACTACGCTTATCCTTCAAAAACACATTTGCGATGTCCCTTTGTTTGCGGGCTGTTGGTTTGTTCTTTTGACGCGAGGTTGTGGGCTAGGTGTGGGGGAAAGCTTAAGTAATTTGTTTATTTTGGAAAGGTACTAGATCTGGATGGGAATGAAAAGGGGAAAAAAGGTTCATTTTGATTGTGTCAGATGTTGTGGGAAATGTAGTAATGGAGGGAAAGTTAGAGTAATAAGATTTTCATCTCTAGCTGAAAAGCAAGCCTACCCACTGTGCTTAGTACTGTTCTTTGGTAGCAAAGTCTGGAAGATCAATTATTTTAGCCTCATTTAACATATTTGGGTACTTCTGAGGGTTTTTCCTGTTTGAGTATCTTTAACACTTTGGCAGATAAAGATTGAAGCATGAAAAGTATCTTTTTGTGTCTTGAAGACAAGATACTCATCAAAAGATGCATTCAGATCTCTTCAAGACTCCAATCATCTCTGCATTTGGAGTTCAGAGAACTGAATTTCTGATATACATCCAGGGTTTCTTTTGCTCTACATTGTAGAATATCTTCCTTGGGCTTTCTTATCACTCTAGACGAATAGTGACCCAAATGAAATGATCCCAAATTATCCAATATAATGCCTGTTCCTTTTGAAAGATAAAGGAGGGATTAAGCAGCAGGACTGGGTTGGGTAAAGTTCGAACTCTAGTGACAGCAGTGCCTGGATAGAGCATTGTACAGAAGGAAATAGTAATGTGTTGGTTTTAAATCTGAATGGTGTAAAGGTGTATGACTTGAAAAAGAATGAGCAGACAGGTAGTAATGACTGTTTCCCTCGCTTCTTGGAGCTGGGCTTGTACCAGGTATCAGCTCTTGATGTGCAGCACTGTAGAAGTGCACTCCAAGCATTAGAACTAGGTAACATTTTTTTCCTTAGATCGTAACTGCCTATGGCAGTTTTATTCCAAAGTCTGTAGAATTTATCAGTTTTAATAAGTGTTGGTTTTGCTTGCAGATGCAGGTGCATCTGTTGCTGATCGTGAGGCCAGTCTGGAACTAATTAAGTTGGATATATCACGCACATTTCCATCCCTGTATATATTCCAGAAGGTGAGATTCTTTGACTCTGGAATAGTTAAGAAAAGAAACGTAGCTGGCCAAATATGGAGTGGGTTTTAGAACTTTTTTATATAAAACAACAAAGGTAAAATTAGTTCTTTTCTACATACGACAGTGAATAGTTTGGGGGGGTGGTTTTTGTAGTTTTTGGTTTTTTGGTGGTTTTTTTAAATGAGAATAAAGTAGGGACATTTAATGATGGACTACAAGGCTTTCCTTCTGGAAAAATGACATGTAGGTTTCTATTAATGTTTATGAAATTACATGCAAAAATGGGAATATTCTCACTGCCTCTACATAAACCTAAAATATGTGTACTAAGATTTATGTTTTTTATGTAAATCTAATATAGGCATACACATGTATATAAAATAACATATTATTATAGTACAGTAACTTGTGTTACTAAGAATTTAAACTTGCGCTGTCTCTGAAAAGGAAAAAACTAATGCTGATGTCTACAAGATATATTAATTTTCCATTATGTATTGACTTCCACTGAATTATTTCATAGGATTGTTGGTCTCTTACTTTTTCTTTAATATCTCAAAAAGTATACATGGTAATGCTTAGAGTAAAAAACTGATATTCTAGATGCAAACAAAGCAATAATTCACTGGCTCACTTGCATCTTAAAATACTGGCTTATTACTTTCCTATATTTATAAAGTGATTTTGAAAAAAACTTTGTCTTTCTTTTCCCCCTCCTCCCTCTCCTTCTATTAGGGTGGTCCTTATCATGATCTCCTGCATAGTGTTTTAGGAGCATATACATGTTACAGACCAGATGTGGGATATGTAAGTATTTGCTGTAAAATGTTTATAACATGACAAATAAGCTTAAGATGTCATGTATTAGAGTGTATTAAACAAGTAGGTTATCTAAACTTCATGCTGGTAGCACTCGAAATAAATAATTCACCTTTGGCACTTAGTCATTTCATAGTGGTTACAATGATGAATTCTTAGAGATAATTGAAGAGCTGAAAATGTACTGAATGTCAAGGATGAGTATATTATTGGGCTTGCGTGGAAAATCTTAAACAGATGCGTTCGCAAGGCATTATAGTTCGGACAGATCCAGAGTTCTACAGGAAAAAAGGCAAAAAAAAACCAAAAACAAAAAAGCTGAGAGACTTCCAGTGAGCACTTGGCCTGTTCTGTCCTAGTGTTGCTCTGGCTGCTGTTGTTTCTGTAGTGATAATCTCTGCTTCACTACTGCATCCCCTAAAATCCAGAAACTCCTTATTGTTGTCATCTTCTCAAAAATTAATCACTTCATCTGAGTTCAGTGAATATTGGATTGTTTGCAGCAAACATGTCTGTGTTTTCTTTTTTGAAAGAAAACCAAAACAAAATGTAAAAAACTGCCCAAAAATGCAAACAAACCAACTAAACTGAACATCTGTCTGAATGGTGTTTGGTTACAGAAGCAGTTAAATAACACACATGTGCATTTTTCTTATTTTTCTATCTTCCTGGGGACAGCTAGGAACACCTTTCACAGGCACTGATGACTTCTGGGCCAAAAAGAACTTTCAGAGTTTTAAGGCTGATCCATGCACCAAAGCATTATTTAGCACAGGGTGTGTTTTCCTCTCCAAACCAGACATGCTTGGGACTCGGCATCAATATCTAGTTGGCTTTTTGTGTTCTAATGTTTTTAGCTCTGAATTCTATCATCTGACCTCGTTTTTGGAGACCTTCCCATACTCTCTGTGAGATTACAAATTCTGCAGGTTCTGAGACTGTTTGTTCCCAGGGTGGAGTTTTAAAAGGCAAATAAGTAATTTTTCTTGGATAGGTCTTCACTTTTTCATTAGGAGCACAGCTAGCCTGAATATTTCTGATTGTAAATGTATTTTCAAAATTTAATTTAAATTCAATGTTATTTAGCAGTAAATTTAATGTAATCTTATTTCCACAGTCATCTATCCCACAAAAATGGAAAGATGCTGGACTTCTTTTGATGCGTAGCAATACCCTTTTCCCCTGGTTGGTTAAAATACTGAGTGCATTTTTTCAAATGAGGAGCAGGCAGCATCAATGCCTAGAAACAGCGAAATAATCATCATTGCATTTGAAATTAGTTTTTAGTATAAAATGAGTATTCTTATCCTCAGTTAACAAATACAAGAGTAATTCTCTTCACTTTTATTGCAGGCTAAAGTGTTTCTGAGAGAGTAATCATGGAAAAATGTAAACTTGCCTTGTAGCTAACCATTTAAAAGTAATTTTACATATGTGAGCAAATACTGTTTGGCAAGTGCAAAGATACGTATTGACTGTTCCAAAACAGAATTTTGTCTCAGTTCCAACATATCTGTCTGGGTCTAAACTGTCCCATATGTGAGATTTTTCTCCATGTCTGCTTTTCCCATAGCTTAACAATGAACTTAAGGCCAAGTTTTGTCTCTTATAAGCTCTGCATCCAGCCTGTGTGGTTTTAACTTTCTTGCATTGCAAGTCTCGAGCACTTGAGATCACGAGACCTCCCAGAACTTCCATCAAGCACCTAAAATCAGCATCTGAAGAAACACTCTTGTTTCTTCCTGAAATCAAATTGACTGCATGCATTAAAAAATACTGGTCTGTGTTTGATTCTGTTCATCTGCAAATGTTATGCAGTGGTATTTGATGTATTGCAGACTGTAAATATTTGTATTTCTGAAGATATAAGATGTACTCAACCTACTCACCTGTATTTGCCTAATGCTTTTCCCACTTGAAGGTACAAGGGATGTCTTTCATTGCTGCTGTGCTCATTCTCAATCTGGAAGAGGCAGATGCTTTCATTGCCTTCGCTAACCTTCTAAACAAGCCATGCCAGCTGGCCTTTTTCCGTGTGGATCACAGCATGGTATGCAGAGTTTTCTGGTTTTGAACCTTAACATTCTTTTGACTCAGAGCATAGTTGATTTATTGATGAATTCCTTTTGTCCTATTGAATAATGGAGATCTTTTAACCTGTGGTTACAAATGTGAGAATACCAGATGCTAGTCCATAGAACACATTCTACTGTTTTGATGTTTCCTCTAGATACGCTTAATCATTGTACTTACCCTAAGAAGTCACATTCTGCTGTGTTGATCTCCTCAATTCTTGGTGGAGTTGGTGTTATTTTACAACTAAACACTCTTTTGATGACTACTTATGAGGTGCTTTACTATCTCTACAGATGCTGAAATACTTTGCAGCCTTTGAAGTATTCTTTGAAGAAAATCTTCCCAAATTGTTTCTTCATTTCAAATCATACAGTCTTACTCCAGACATATATTTGATAGACTGGTGAGTTCAGAGAACATAGCAAACCTAGCCTTAGAACTGTTGGAATGCTTCCCTTTTGCTATATTTTTTTCAGCAGTAGAAGTACAGCATTAAAAAAAAAAAGGCATTCAGTAGGTGTTTGTGTACCTCAGCTTTCTAGGTCTTGTGAAATCTCAGTGAACTGTTCTGTGCAACCATAGATCCTCTGGCAGGATTCAAACTTTCTGAACTGGGATTAGGAGTGACATCTGTTCAGATAGAAAATGAGGCACACAGGTGTCCCTTGTGTCTCATTTTCTTGTTGCTCCAGGTAAGAGTCAGCTATGTGTGATGTAAGTAGGGGAGAGGACAGGGAGAAGACAACTACATCATAGTTGTCTTACGACTGCTTGTAAGTGACCTGATAAAATAAGCCTGAAGAAAGCTACTGAAGAAAATAGGAACATAGGAATATAGACTTTAAAGCAGAAAGAGGATGAAATTTAGTGCCCGGTTTGGGAAGGGCTAAACTTGGAAATACAGTGAATGTTTTGAAGTAATGAATGTTCTAAAGCAGAGGGTACTGCACTACATTATGTGCCTATAATGGAAGACAGTAATGCAAGCATCCTTGAAGTGTGTGTAGTGCTGCCAAATACAGAATGCCTATTCCTAAGTGTGTGTGTGGATAAGGATGTCCTTCATATAAGATTACTACATGGGTTAGAAGTTTATCTAATAGAGTAAATGGATTTGGGTAGAATTAAATAATTTCAAAACATCACCTTGTCCGAGTATGTGGGGATGAAGAAGTTGGGCTGTAAGGTGAGCTTATCAGTCAGCAGTCTTGGCAGGAGCAGGTTATACAGTAGCAGCGCCAAGTCAGGAGTGTGCTGCAGTTCTGAGAGTTCAGGCACATCGAGAGAGGCATATGTGCTGTGGAAATAGTGCTGCTGTACAGAATACTAGAATATTCTGCATCCGGTTACCTGTGAGTAATGAAGATTGTTATTTTTGAACATACTCCAAAGATGGCCTTGATATAGAGTGAGCTTCTCTTGAGAAGGGAGAGTAGAAGAGGTTCTGGCAGTCTGTGTGGTAAGGAGCGTTCTGAGATTCCTGAGCACTTCCCAGTAGGAATAATGGGGAAGCAGAGAACATGATGCTTTGTACCAAAGGAACCCCAACAAGTTTATGGAAGGGGTTCTGCAGTATAGTACCCACAGCAGACTGAGCTCTCTGCTCATGTATGATGAATGATTTTTAAAAATAAACTTTGCAGTAAGAAATGCAATTGGACAATTCCCAGTAAGAATAAAACAGCAAATGTTAGATTTTTGGTGATTTTTAATGTAAATAGAAATTCAAAATGTGTCAGAGAAATGTAGTTATTGAATTTTCATTAGTACATTAGTGGGATGTAGCCTTCTATTAAGAAGATTTAGATTTAGTTTAGAAAACAAATGATGAACAGCGCTGTTAACTCTTCTCATTATTTAAGCCACGCAGTTCAAGTTACGTAGTTATGATCTGTGTTGTCAAAGTTGTTATTTGTATGTTATGTCCTGGTTTTGAGTGTAAAGATGTTTGTAACTTCTCTAGCCAGAGCTCTCTAAATGAGGTGGCTTTTGAATGGAGGTTTTCCTGTAGCATAATGGTTTTCAGAGTAGGAGTTCTGACTTGAAAGACTGGAGATTTGTGGATCTTTTGAAACACAGAAAAATAAGAACATATTTAATAACTTGTCATCTGCTCACTCAAAGGAGATTGTATTTTCGTTTTCATCTTTCCAAAATAGGTTAAAGTTAACTGTTTGAGGCTTTTCTTTGTTTTCTTTTTTGCAATTTTAGGATTTTTACACTCTACAGCAAGTCGCTACCACTTGATCTGGCCTGTCGTGTCTGGGACGTTTTCTGTAGAGATGGAGAAGAATTTTTGTTTAGGACAGGATTAGGTATCCTTCGGTTATATGAAGATATTCTCCTACAGATGGACTTTATTCATATAGCACAGTTTCTAACGAAACTTCCAGAAGACATTACATCAGAAAAGCTTTTTAGTTGTATTGCAGCTATTCAGATGCACAATAGTAACAAGAAATGGGCACAGGTGAGTTTCTTGGATGTAACATGTCAGCACGTGAGTATATGGGACACTTCTCTTAATGGTTACTCCATGCTGTGTGTCTGACCTCTGAGCAGTGGGCACTTGCTTTCCATACTAACATTGTGGTGGTTAATATTGGTATTTTTTGTAAGACTGTGGGTTTTTATATTCATGAAATAATTTACTTTTCCAGGTGTTTGCCTCACTGATGAAGGACAACAAAGAAGGGGACAAGAACCATAGCCCAGCACTGAAAAGCTAATTGTCGTAATGTTGAGGTCAACTGAAAATGTGGAAAACCACTAGATGACAAAGGAATTTTCACAGCACTTCTATGTGGAAAAGCACTATAGAAAATGTGAAAATGAGATGGGAAAATGACACAGCTCTCAGTGGAGTAATGAACTGACAAAATCTTCACCCTTTTGCCAGTATTAGCTTTTGTCATGGGAAGATTTGTTTTCACACAGGATACTAAAACCTCTGAAACTGAGAAGTGCGGCAGTTCATATTTAATACTTTAGAAGAGTCAGCTCAATGCAATAAACATTTGTAATAACTTCTGTTGGTACTTTAAAAAAATTTTGAGGCATAACTTTTTTTACAAATACCACAAAGGCACTTTTGGGGAGGGATGAGGGAAATGCTAAATCTTAAGGTCCCAAAACTGCTATCCAAACCAAATGCTTTTGGTGCAAATATTACCTCCAAAATTAACCATTTGAAAGTATCGAGGACCAAATAAGGTTGTTTGGTGTGTTTATGTGCAAGATGGTTAAAATTTGGGAAGGGGTATTGTCTTACTTGTGTTTTTTTTGTTGTGGGTTTTGTTTTTTCTTTTAAGTTGCAGCTTCATTCTTCAGTCTGGGCAAATGTAATTAACTCAGGAACTGTGGAATTATTGTGCCCAAACTTGTTAAAGCAAAAATCATCTGAATTTTAAACAGTGCTAAGATCAGGGCTGCTATTTTCAAAGTGAGTGGTATTAAGCATTTATTTTGGTGTGTTGGTCGTGCAGCTTATTAAAAATGGGGTGGGTATTCTGTGAAGGGGTTTTGCCACCAGAAGTTTTATTTTTTCGAGCCATTTCTGACTAAGAAATACTTGTATGTAACAGTGAACACTAGTAAGTAACAGAGCATCTGCAGACTTTGTGTTGTCAAAGGAGCAGCCACTTTGAACACTTTGGAATAACGCAGACTCGGAATTGGGTTTGAAACTATCTTTTATTAGTGTGCAATACTGAAATCCAAAAAGCGTCTGGTTTAGTGATAAATTCTTTAACATCTTTTGACTGTGCGACACAAGGTCGTATTGTACGTGTCACGGCAGAATATTCTCAGACCTTTCCTGTTCTCCAAGATGCTGTATTGTAGGGGATGGAAACTGAAAATGAATAGCACTGCAGGTGAGGAACGCTTGCACTCTCTTGGTCCATTTTTGCTAATATTTAATGTAAATAAATTCCTTACATGTGGGTTTTTGTAACTCGTCCCTCTGTGGAATCAAGTCAAAATTACCATATGTATTTCTGAGTGCAGAAGGCTTCCAGTTGTCTGGTGTTTAAAAGCAAAGTCTACATAATTGGGGTAAAGATTTATTGTGGTGTAACTTACATTGCTATCTGGTTTAAAAACTACATATATGCTCTTCATAACATTACAATTTGAAATGTAAATGTCAGATTTTTCTTAACTTATGTATTCACTACTTTAATTGGATCCAATTTGTCTTATATTTTTGTGTTATCTTGTACAGTTTTCTTACTTTTCAACTATAAATCTGTATATAACTGTAAATAGAAGGATCAAACCTTCCTTAAAGACCACTAGTAACAAGTCCTGTGTAAATAAAACTTACAGCAGCTGCCCGCTGTGCTGCTGCCTTTCTGTTTCTCCGTGACCTGCTGTGAAGGAGGGCGAGGGCCGCAGGGCCGCGCTCAGGGGGCCTGTGCTCTCCCGCATTTCTTGCCCCCTCACCCGGCGCCGAGGGGCCCGGGCAGCGCACCGCGCTCTGAGGCTCGCTTTCTTCTTTCTGCGGCTCGGGGGCGGACGCTCAGCTCCTGCAGGGAGCATTTCGGTGCTGGCCACTGACATAAAAGCTCGGTGTGTTTCTGGAGGGCT